TTTTTAAATATAATTACTTATATATATTTATGTGTAGTTAACTATATACCCACATATAGTTATTTATATAATTAATTTTTTCACAAACAGTCAACTATACTAGTTATATTCACGAATTGTTCACTATTATCTATATAATTAGAAATATAAATAACTATTTTTAAATATAGTTAGTTATATATTCATGTATAGTTAGCTATATACAATCAACTATACTTGTTATATTCACAAATAATTCATTATTCTATATATAGTTAAAGATATTCACAAATAGTTTACTATTACACATTTTCAATATATGAAACTTGTAATTTATTATATTAAATAAGTAGTTAATTATATTTAAATGAAGTTTTCTGTTGTTTATTTAAACAGTGAAATAGTTCACTATTTATGTGATATAATTCACTATTTATATTAAAATAAAGTTTTTAATATAAATAGTTAATTATATTAAAATAAATATTTTTATTGTTTATTTAAACAGTGAAATAGTTCCCTATTTATGTGATAGAGTTCACTATTTATGTTAATATTATCTAACTTGTGATATAGTTCATTATATAATTTATATATTCAAAATTTCAAACAATAACTAGTTACAGAAAAAAAAACGAAAAAATGTAGCAAAATAAAATGAAATTATATATGTCAATTTCAAATTTATTTTAAAAAATAATATTATTATTTTATTAAAGAAAGACAAATTTGTATTAAAGATGACAATTTTAATTGAATTTATTGAAATGATAAATTAGTCAAATTTTATTTTTCTTTGCTAGTTACTAAATTTACAACTTACATATGTTACTTTACTAATTTACATACTTCAACATGTTATTTCACTAATTAACCCTATTGTATATAATTGCATCTCCTTAGGAATAAATAACGAAATAAATTACTCTTACGAAAATACAAATTAGTAAAGTTTGACATTTTGTCAAAAAATTGTTTAAAACAGTACTAATTAACTACTTTTTGTACGGTTTCAATGATTTGATGGCATAGTCAGCGTAGAGATGATTTTAGTATTTTACCCACCAACATGTAATGATGTTTAATCATTTAACCAGACGTAAAAAAATTCTGAGAGCAAATCAAAAAGCAATTTGGTAAAAGAACTGGTTTCTAGCCGAATAATTTTACATTGTGCAAAATACCTTTGTGACTCTTCTTGAAAATAAGATTTCCATACAAATATGCATTATAAATGATCTTTAGAAAAGAAAAATATGTGTTATATTGGACCATATGAGATGTAGTTATATATTATGTAAGGATATATTAAATATTGGGTTATTGAATAAAACCTCAAAAGAATAATTAGGTTTTAAGAAATTGGGGTTAATTAGTTTTGTATAAATATTTGTAGCCGTGTTCTATATTGAATAACCCAAAATCCTCAATATTATATTTCAGCATTAAACTTTACATGATATTTGATCGCTTTTAGCGACCAATGGTAGAAAATATGCATGGTAAACATAGAAAAGAAGGATGGTTAACACTGGTATAATAATATAACATTACATTTTATTACGCATTACATTTTTAACAAATAACGATGGTTAATTCTGAGATTAGAGCACTGTGGAACCATTGGGTTCTATCAAACGCGAAGATGTATACAAATGCTAACATGCACGGATAAAAATTTCACGTGGAGGGAAAGAAAAAAATGTTGTGGATCAAAAAGTGGTATTATAAAATCATTAGCTCTAGTAATTTCGCTGCTTCAAATTTAAATCCGTAAAAACGAAGACTTTGTAAGATAATAATAATTGACCATAACCTCCCGGTAATTAAAAAAGAAAAAAATAATAATAATTGCCCACTACAATCATAATTAATAGCTTGTAAAATGATATTATATAGGATGAAACAAGCATTATGTGTGTAGGACGCATGTGCAGATAGACTCAAACTACATGTGAGCCCAAAGATGTGTTCTAGTTTTGCAATGAGTGGTTCGACTTCTTGTCTTCATCTCCGTTAACTTTGGTCCATTCCAATTTTTCCATGTGCCCTCCTCTTTCTGATCATTCCAAACCAATCACGTTTTGTCTAATGTAAAATCATCAACTACAACCAAATTAATTTAGGAAAAAAAAAAAAAAGAACTACAACCCTATATTTTATCCAAAATATTTTTGTAATAACTCACAAGTGACAAGAAAACGAGTTTTTGTTTCTGGACACGGAAATAAACTATGGACCGAAATCTAGTCTAATAATCTTTGTAATCTAAGAAGAAGTTTTCTTGTCACAGTGGTATCTACAACAATAAAAAATTGATTTTGGTAGATGGTGAACTCGGTTTCTAACGAGTCATCTTTCGAGAAAATCACTGGACCACACACCCTTGTAATTGTTTCACAAAGTTTATAAGAGTAATGTGACATAATTATTTGTTTCAAAGTTTACATCAATAATGTGAAATGATTATTTGTCAAAGAAAACAAAATTGTCTTATAGACTTTAGACTAACAAGATGTTGTGGTTGTAGATGAATTGAAATAAATATTAAATTTTAATTTCTTTTAAAGAAAATCTAGACTAAAGGTTTAGAGTCAACATTCGAGACGGACATTCAGATTTTGAAAATTATAAAGTAATGACAGGAGATAATGGTGATGTAGTAGCTCTCACCAGCTCTCCCATCCCCCTTTTGACAAAATAAAATGATTAGTTTAATTTTGCCAGTTGGACCACTTCATTTCATATTTTTTTTTTAATATTTTGGCATAACCCTCTGATTATTGACCAAAAAAAAAAAACCCTCTGATTAGGAAATTACAAATTTTATCAGTGGATATAATCTAGTGAAAATAATAGAAATGTCATTCATGTTCTCAAAAATGAAAAAAAA